GAAACCCGAGACAGAGTTGCTCTGCCCCAGGCTTCCTGGAATCAGCCACTGATCAGTTTCAGCAGCAACTGACTTGGGGACGCCTGGGTTTCTTAAGTTGAATCTGTATGTAAGTCAGTACTGGCGTCCAGATTCAGCCGCGGTTGAAACTGATCAGTTTCAGCAGTGGCTGACGCCAGTTCCGACTTACATACAGATTCAACTTAAGAACAAACCTACAGTCCCTATCTTGTACGTAACCCGGGGAGTGCCTGTACTTTGAGTGCCACAGCAGCACCCTTTTAAATTGAGAGAAACCCAACCATGTATTGCGGTGACCTGCTCCTGCCGTACCAGATTCCTCCAAGAACTGATCAGTTTCAGCAGTGGCTGACGCCAGTTCCGACTTACATACAGATTCAACTTAAGAACAAACCTACAGTCCCTATCTTGTACGTAACCCGGGGAGTGCCTGTACTTTGAGTGCCACAGCAGCACCCTTTTAAATTGAGAGAAACCCAACCATGTATTGCGGTGACCTGCTCCTGCCGTACCAGATTCCTCCAAGGAAGGTCGCGCTTGCATCTGTCGTACCAGGCAAGCAAATTCTTCCGAAAGGCCTTGATTTCAGCTGGGCGGCTGAAGAGATGGTACGCGGACTGCTGGGCAGACACTGAAGGAGGCATGCCTGCAAGGAGACATTAAAATACCAGTCAGAAGACAGGACCGGTGGTTCAAGGAGCTTGGGGTGTAGGGCTGGGATGGTCTTTCATTACTGAGGTGAAGGTTTTTACATCATTTGGAAACAAATTTTGCCCACTATAAACAAACGAAAAGCCTTGACAAGCCCCTGCACTGGACCCTGAAGGGTGTGTGGCCCCAAAAGGCTTTCATTAGCTGTTTCCAGGATTCACCCAGGCCCAGTGTGCCACAGCTCTACAATCCTAAATTCACCCCCAAAGCCTCATTTCTACCAGACTCCCAAATACTGTCCCTCATCAAATGCCTTCTTCTCCTAAACCTTACAGAACTGGAGAGACGTGTAAGATTAGAAATAAAGCCTCCAATTTACCACCCTTACCTGGGCCTCCCATTGCATCTAGTTGACTCTGTCTCACAGACTGTACCTTTCCCAGGGCAGGGACTGGTTTTCCATGTGTCTCATACAATAAGGGGTATGCCAACATTTAACTGGTAAAAACGTCTATGACTGGGTTCTCTATGCTCAGCGGGATGCATTAACTAGAACAAGCTTCCTGCTAAGAAAGAAAGAAAGATCATGCCTACTAAAGAATTTGTTATATCAGAGGTGAGGAAGCCCGAACAGCATGGGGCTAGCAGAGGAGGCCGAGAAACTGACCAGAAACCAAACAGAATATTTTTTGAAGTGCAACCACAGTGTTGAAAAAAGGAGGCAGCACAAGCTTTTGGTTAAAGTGTTATGTCTCTCTGAAAAGGGGACTGGCAGGCAGCTCGCTGTGTGTATCAAAGGCAAATCTGATTTCAGTGACTAAAATAAGCTTTCAACTAGTTTTACTGCTCTCAGCCATTATTCCCTCTAGTCTTTTCCGTCCATACATGGAACACGTTTGTTATGTGCGGATGAAGGCATGTGCAAATGTGCACCACCCGTAGAAACAAAAAGTGGGGGCGCTCTGCTAATCAGCTGGGCGGCACTGGACTCTCTCCTGAGTGGCCACACAAGTGCACAGCTTACAGGGAACCCTGTTCTCGGCCTTGCAGCGCTCACCCACCTCTGCATGGGGCAGCTGCAATCCCCAGCTCACACAACATAGCCAAGCTCTTAACCAAGCTCACTTGGTGAAATCTTGGTCACTCCCCGTGCACAAGGAAGAAACAGCCCAGATTGAGCCTCGCATCCCAAAGAGAGCACTGCTGAGCTGTCCTTACTGAGACAAGAAACAAGGAGCCTGACAATAGCACTTTAGGGTTGAGTGGCACTGAAGGCGCAGGCCTGAACCCAGAGGTCAGCAGTGACGTTAGGATCAGCAGAGAGTGCAAGCGTTCAATGGTCAGAATGAATAAGGTGCAGCCTCAGCGGACGGAGCTTTATTTACAAAATATCATTTTATTTGCCAGCATCCCTTGGCACTGGCGTGTGCTCAGGACGTGGCTAGTCACCCACGCTGCAGCTTCCCCATGAGATCCTTACAGCCTAGCCCAGAGGTCAGCAGTGACGTTAGGATCAGCAGAGAGTGCAAGCGTTCAATGGTCAGAATGAATAAGGTGCAGCCTCAGCGGACGGAGCTTTATTTACAAAATATCATTTTATTTGCCAGCATCCCTTGGCACTGGCGTGTGCTCAGGACGTGGCTAGTCACCCACGCTGCAGCTTCCCCATGAGATCCTTACAGCCTAGCACCTTTCCAGGGCCAGGCTGTGGAAGAGAGAGGGAAGGGGCTGCAGTTATGGGGACTCCGCTAGGACCCTCGCAGCTGCACCAGCCCCCACCCCTAGCGCTGCGGCCTCCCACGGGGACAGGGACCCCTTGCGCACCAGGCATGT